AGCAGCAGCAGCAGCAGCAGCAGCAAGCCATACCTGAAGGTCTCCATACAGCTCAGGTCTTGCTGCTTCATCTGCTGACATGCTGCTGTAATGCAGCAGCGCAGGGACAGCAGCAGCATCTGTCTTATCTCTACTTCTCCTTTCAAATGCAGAAGTGTCTCCTGCTGCTGCTGCTGCTGCTGCTTCTTCTGCTGCTGCTGCTGGTGCTGCTGCTGCTGCTGCTGCTGCTGAGGAGGAAGAAGAAGAACCCTGCCCCGAGTCGCTAGGCCTAAACCACACCTGACAGCGTTGCTGCTCATTTTGCTGCTGCTGCTGCTGCTGCTGCTGCTTCTGCTGCTGCTGGGGTTGCTCCTGCAGCATCTGCGGTTTGTAAAAGACATCGTATGCATGCGTGGGTTCGGCTGTATAACTACGTCTTAAGGGTGTCTCAAGGGGGGCCCCCAGGGGGCCCTCAGGGGCCCCCCCGTCCCCCCTATCACTGCTGAAATATCCTCTATTTTGTCTGTCTCCTTCACTACGCCACGAGCCTACTACATTGGGGCCCCAACCAGACTTCGCAGGGGCCCCCTGGGGGCCCCAACCCCCCTCTAATGACCCCACACGGGGGCCCCCCCCTGATTGCTGGGGACCCCCTTGGGGGCCCCATTGGGGGCCCCCTACTGATTGATGGGGGCCCCCAAGGGGGCCCCCAAGAGGGGACCCTGATTGATGGGGGCCCCCAAGGGGGCCCCCAAGGGGGCCCCCAAGAGGGGACCCTGATTGATGGGGGCCCCCAAGGGGGCCCCCAAGAGGAGACCCTGGGGGGCCCCCTAGGGGGCCCCTCTTTGTTGAAGAAGTATTGAAGAGAGGTGCTGAAGAAGAATGCTCAAGAGAAGAATAACAGGAAGAGGGTACTGTGCGAGAGACAGTACGAGGTAAAGATGGAGCTGGGGGGGAAGGCCAGGCTGTATACTGCTGCTGCTGCTGCTGCTGCTGCTGCTGCTGCTGCTGCTGCTGCTCCTCCTGCTGCTGCTGCTGATGGGGCTGGGGGAGGGGATACTCCTCTGTGTTGCGGTGCATCTGCCTCACCTTAAGACAGACAAATACAAAATATATGCAGCAGATAGAAAGAAGCTGAAGATTGTGTTGCTGCTGGGGCCCCCGCGCTGCTTAGCTGGGGGCCCCCTGCTGCAGCAGAACTCCCTGGTAAGAAAACCCTAAACCCTAAACCCTAAACCCTGAATCCATAAACCCTAAGCACTCAAAGGAGAAGATTTTGCGATACCTAGGGTTTAGGGTTTAGGGTTTAGGGTTTAGGGTTTAGGGTTGGGGGGTTAAGGGTTTGTTGCAGCGTTATTCTGCGCTCCTTCTCCACGATTGAGTCAAAGCACCTTTGCAATGTACTGTTTAGAGTTTAACCTTTAGGGTTTAGGGCTTAGGGTTTAGGGTTTGGGGTTTAGGGTTTATGGTTTAGGGTTTAGGGTTAGCATGCAGCTGCTGCTAGAGGCGTCTGGCTGGGGCTGTTGTTTGCTGCAGCAGCATTGGCTTGCCCTGTAAATAATATTATTATAAAATATAATAAAAATAATTTAAATTAAATTAATAAAATATATTTTATCTTTCTTATTTTGTCTCTTAAACCCTCTAATTTTCTCCTACCTGCATGCAGATCGATGTGTGTATACACCGCAATGTGTGTGCTGCTGCTCTTATCCCCACAGCAGCAGCAGAAGAAAGAGTAAAATTAAATTAAATATTAAACCCCTGCATGCATGCAAATGAAGTACTTCCTCTTTAAGATCATCGCTAGCTAGCCTCAGCTAGCCAAGACAGCCGACAGCCAGGTATAGCTAGCTGCAGCAGAAGCTGCTGGGGGTTTATATAAGAGAGGCTTCTTCCTATAGCTGCTCCTACAGCTGCTTGCTGCATGCACTTGTATTACTTTTTTAAATGCTTTATCTGCATGTCTATTTGTATCTCTAGGGCTCTTGTTTAGGGTTTAGGGTTTAGGGTTTAGGGTTTACTCTCTGGGGTTTAGGATTAACCGCTAAGCTGCTAGGGTTTAGGGATTAGGGTTTAGGGTTTAGGGTTTAGGGTTTAGGGTTTGTTTGGCCTTCTTTGTCTGAAGCTTCTCTTTCTAAAGCGTCTCTCTTTCTTCTTCTCCATTTGTCTTCTGCTGCAGTTAGGGTGCTGGTTTTGCTGCAGCTGGCAGCAGCAGCAGCAGCAGCAGCATACAACAGCCTCTGATATAACTCTGTCTTTTTGCTGCTTCGTCTGTCTCTCCTTGCTCTTCTTTCTGTCTCCTTCTTCTCGTCTCTCTCTGTGTATACATCTATATGAATCTTCTGCTCGCAGTTGCTGCAGTTGCTGCAGTTGCTGCTGCTGCTGCTGTTGCTGTTGTTTGCTGTGCTAAATGCCGCAGCAGCATAACGTGCTTCAACTGCAGCAGCAGAAGCAGCAGCAGCAGCAGCAGCTTTATCTTGGAGTGCTGCTGCTGCTTTCAGATAAGAAAATGCAGCGGCTAGCCAACGCGTCAGCTAGCAGCTAGCCAGCTGCTCATTTACCTGCAGATAGCTAGCTAGCTAGACAGTCTGGGTATCTAGCTAGCTAGCTACTTAGACACCCAGATAGCTAGCTAGCTAGCTAGCCAGCTAGCTAGACAGAAATATAGCCAGCTTGTTAGCTAGCTAGGTAGCTAGATAACTAGGTAGCTAGCTAGATAACCAGACAGCAAGCTGGCAAGCTGGCTAGCTAGCTAGCTAGCTAGCCAGCTAGCTAGATAGGGCAGCTTCAATAAGGTGTCTCTGCAGGCTAGAGCGTCTGCTGAGGCTACGTGTGGGGCGACCCCCCAAAAGAGACAAACAAATAACAGCAGCAGGGACAGCAGCAAGAGAACAGCAACAGCAGCAGTAGCAGCAGCAACAGCTACAGCAACAGAGCAGCTACAGTAGGAGCAGCAACAGAGCAGAAGCAGCAGCAGCAGTTGCATCAGCAACACCAGCAGCAAGGCAAAGCTGCACAAGCAGCACTAACCTCAGCAACAGCAGCAACAGCAGCAACAGCAGCAACAGCATCAGCAGCAACAGCAGCAAGGGAAACACCTAATTGATGGGGATTT